CGGCTATTGAAACTAACAACCTGTCTAAATGTCAAATATGTGTAGAAGCAAAACATCCAAAGAAACCTTTCAAGCAGGTGACTGAAAGACAAACTGAGTTGCTCAATTTTGTGCATACGGATGTAGCTGATTTTAAAAATACCATGAGTCGAGGAGGTAAAAAGTATTATATATCCTTTATTGATGATTATTCAAGGTATTGCAAAGTTTATTTACTTAAAAATAAAGATGAGGCAGAAGAGGCTTTTTTAAAATACAAGGCTAAAGTAGAAAACCAGCTTGATAGAAAGATTAAAAGACTTAGGTCTGACCGAGGGGGGGAATATGGGTCTAATTCTCTCAAACTTTTTTGTGAAAATAATGGAATTATTCATGAATTCAGTGCCCCACGCACACCTCAGCAAAATGGCATAGCGGAAAGGAAAAACCGAACCCTTAAAGATATGATGAATGCTATGCTCCTAAGTTCAGAGCTTCCTGATGCCATGTGGGGGGAAGCTCTCTTGTCTGCATGTTATGTACTTAATCGTGTACCTCACAAGAAATGAGATAAAACACCCTATGAACTTTGGAAAGGTTATTCCCCTAACCTTGGTTACTTGAGAGTGTGGGGGTGTTTGGCCAAAGTAGGATTACCTGATTTTAGGAAAACCACTGTTGGTTCTAAAACCTTTGATTGTGTATTTATTGGTTACTCTTGTAACTTCATGTCATTGCATGATTATACTATTACTGAATCTAGGTATGCAGAATTTTTTGAGCAGATGTTTCCATTAAGGAAAAAAGATCAAGTCTGCTCTTCTAGCAATAGTTTATACTCCCTCCGTCCCAAAAACAACTTCACAGTCACTATTCATTGGTCAACTTGAATCACTTGTAATCTTTTACTTTTTATATCAAATTTTTATCAAATTTAAATTTTATTGATCAGACTTTGTAGCGGTTTTAATGTAGTTTCTGAATATGTAAATTTTATTTACTAAAAATAATCCGAGTGTGAGCAGGGATCGAGTTGCTTTATCGTCAGTCAAGCATCGTAAACCGAACGGGAAGTTAATTTTGGGACGGAGGTAGTACAAATCAAGTGATGTACCTCTGCCTGTAGCTACTGATGCTTCCTTGAGTGCTTTTTCAAGTTCTGGAGTAACCTCAAACTTAAATATGGATGAACCCAGGAGGAGCAAAAGGCGTAGAATTGAATCAAATTTTGGTCCTGACTTTGTAACTTCTTTCCTGTCTGAAACAAGTGATCTTGATATTTTAAATGCTGAGTTTGTTTATGCCTTTTTGATTGAGGAGGATCCTAAAACATATCAAGAAGCCATAACCTCAATTGATGCTAGTATATGGAAAGAGGCCATTAATAGTGAATTAGAATCTCTAGTTTCAAATGAAACTTGGGAATTGACCAGTCTGCCCAAAGGGTGCAAACCTATCACTAATAAATGGATTTTCAAGAAAAAATTAAGACCTGATGGATCCATAGAAAAATTTAAAGCCAGACTAGTAATAAGGGGTTTCACTCAAAGAAAAGGTATAGATTTCTTTGATACTTTTTCACCAGTGACCAAGATTGCCACCATAAGAGCATTAATAGTTCTTGCAGCTATTCATGATTTAGTCATCCATCAAATGGATGTGAAGACTGCCTTTTTAAATGGTGATTTGGAAGAGGAAATATATATGACTCAACCGGAAGGCTTCATTAGTCAAGGCCAAGAAGACAAGGTATGTAAGCTGAAAAAATCTCTTAATTGCCTTAAACGGGCTCCTAAGCAATGGTATGAGAAATTTAATAAGACATTATTAAGTGATGGATTTGTAATAAATAGTTCTGATTCATGTGTATATTCTAAGATGTTTGGATCAGATTGTGTGATCATATGCCTCTATGTGGATGATATGCTTATTCTTGGTAACAATTTGCATGTTGTATAGATCACCAAAAATTTCTTGTCTTCTATATTTGAAATGAAGGATCTGGGAAATGCTGATGTGATTTTAGGAGTCAAGATCAGCAGAGATTCCAATGGTGTATCTCTGTGTCAATCTCATTACATTGAGAAGATGCTTAGGAAGTTTAATCATTTTGATGTTCTGCCTGCAAGAACACTCTATGACCCCAGTGTCCATTTGAAAAAGAATAAGGGCCCTAGCGTGTCTCAAGAAGAATATGCAAAAGTTATTGGTAGTGTTATGTTTCTGATGAACTATACTCGACCTGATATAGCGTATGCGGTAAGTAGACTAAGTCGTTATACACATAGTCCTAATTGCTCCCATTGGAATGCACTTCATCGTTTGCTTAAATATCTCAAAGGTACTATGAACTGGTGTTTGCATTTTAACAAATTTCCTGCAGTATTAGAAGGATATTGTGATGCAAATTGGGTTGCTGATAATGATGAAGTTAGTTCAACTAGTGGCTATGTTTTCACCCTTGGTGGAGGTGCTATATCATGGAAGTCTTCAAAACAAACATGTATAGCACGATCCACCATGAAATCTGAATTTATTGCTCTAGAGTTGGCAGGTCAAGAAGCAGAATGGCTGAGGAGTCTTTTGGCAGATATACCCTTATGGGGAAAACAAAACACTCCTATCTCTCTTCATTGTGATTCTCAAGCAGCAATTGGAGTTGCAAAGAACACTGTGTATAATGGAAAGAAAAGGCACATCAGAATCAGGCATGGTGTAGTCAAACAGATGCTGAAAAATGGAGTTATCACTTTGGAGTATGTAAGGTCTGAAAAGAATTTGGCAGATGCTTTCACCAAAGGATTACCAAGGAAGACTGTTCTTGATTCATCAAAGGGAATAGGGCTAAGATCCATAAATTAGGTAATATGATGAATGTTTATCTATAAGTGGTATGGTATCATCTAGTTTATGTCTCTTGTTGTCAATAGCAGTTGATTGAATTCATTGTTGCATAATGATGGTATTATGAAGACATCATTATTAACATATGTGTTTGGATAAATTGAGTTTATAGCCAAATATTTGGTGGTTCTATTGAGAAGGACTTGATAAACTCATAACTTGTATATTGTGAGGATGAGTTAAACACTCTTAATGGTTCAAACCTTGTGTGGAAGGGGGTTGCTATGAGAAGCACCTAATACAGGAACCACCTATGTGAGTGTGAAGGCTGGCCACCTTCTATGAAAGATTGGGAATTTCTTTCTAGAGCACTCATGAGACCAAGGTATACGCATGGCCATAAAAGCATAATAGTAGTATCGCGGAGTTTGCACAAATTAAGGATATTATATGTGCTGTGGGGGGTTTCTCGGCCAAAACCTAGGTGAGTTCAAGATGCAATTCACTCATCTAGGTAGAAGTCGTTGCCTCATATCACTATGTGTCAATTCAAATCAAAAGATATTGGCATTTAAGTATTCACTCCTTCCTTTGCTCAGTTTGTTTCCTTTCTTTTTATGTATGAGCCATTTGTGGGGGATTGTTGGGTAAATGGCTTTTACAAAGGTATTTTCTCTCCAGCCCATCTCTTTACTTTGGCCTGCTTCTTTTAGGCCCAAGTACTATGTTAATTCATTTCAAATGTGCTGGCAGACTTAGTCAATTTTTTTTTCATCCCCTGATATCGTGGATAACTGATGCCGTAGAAGTCTGCACCATTTGTGCGAGGTGGACTCGTCTGATCAGGAAAAACCGCAGCTTCTCCTCCAATTCTTAGTTGAAGCAGTTGAAAAACATCTTCTATAATTGAACCCGCATAGCCTGATCAAATCATCTTCTTCTTTTCTTTTCTAAATATTACCTTCTGAGCAATTGTATTGTGCAAACTCCATTCTTTCAACCACGTGTGCTCGTGTTTGAGAGTAGCTGTGTAAACCTTGGGGAACGAACCGGCTGTATACGATTAGCACCGGAGTCGAGCCGAATTTCGTTTTCAAACCAGTGGCCTTCACGACACAGCTTGATTCTTTCTTCTTTGATAAGTTTCTTGTTTTTCTCTCTTCTTCTTCATTTGCTATTAATAGTTGCTGCCAGTTTTATCCAAGATAGCATACATCCAACCGTGCACCCACCCCGCCATGTCCCGACGAACATCCCGGCGGCAACAGTGGAGAAGAGCAAAACCCCTGTCAAGTCCCCCCACTCCACGTCAGAAACGGCATACAGCGTTAATAGGAAGCCAGAAGAAGAAACAGTCCCAAGCCTTCAACCACAACCCATCCAAACACACCACCTCTGCGAACTTCACCATGTCATATGCTCACTCAGCCGCGTATGCAGTCATCTCCGCCGCCTTTCGGTTTATCTCGGCCACCCGTCTTTTGCCTTTCCCAGCCCCTCGTATATATCTATGCGCACAGTGAGATATGAGATTTGAATGTATCAATTTTGGATTAGGACTTGCTGACTCTTGGCTATATGCTCCGTTTTTTAATTGAGCTGTACCCGATGACCCGAACCGGCTCCAAGACCAGGTACCTGGCCGGGCCCAAACGGTACCGGGCCGATTGGGTTCCAGGCCGGGCGGCCCGACCCGACTCCAGAGTCCACCCCTAGGTGGTATGGGACAAAGAGAATACGTAAGTAACTTTTATTGAAGTGCAAACTCTTGTGTTCTTACAAACTACATATTGATATTTGAAACATTTTCAAAATTCAAAAAAGTATTGTATATGTATGTTTACTAAATTGATACAATTGTATTTAAATTATCTATACAAGTGAAATGTCTCAATGTCATTATATGCACATCTGACATAAAAAAACAACTATAACAACATTCAAGCCTTAATCCCAAAAGATTTTGGATCAGCTAACATTTAAAAAAACTATGACCGAACTGGAATCGGTATTATACGCTCCAGGCTTCACTACAAAAAAATTGGGGTGAACCAATCTGGGATCGGAACCAGACTGTGCTCATGTGGTCGACCATGCCAACTTATAGCCTAGTCAATCGTGGGATTCAAGGACAAGAGAAATGAGAAGGTAACTTTAAGTACAACTATATTCATCATTTGATAACTCTGAAGCATTAATGCTACTAACAAATACTCCGTATTGTAGATCGCATTTCTTAAAAGGCAACAAGATATTCCTTGAATAAAGGATACAAAAGTGCGTTTTTATTGACAAACCATTGTTTGGCAAATGCTTTTTACAGGGTGAAGCAATTCTTCCTGTAAATGCCACTTGACTTGAAAATAAGTCACCCCAGGCACTCGCTCTCATAGCCAACAAAGATGTCAAATGACGGGTGATACAGGTGTTTGTATAAGAACAGTTGCTTGCATCTCTTTTGAACGAGTAGTTTCCATGAACGACAACAATTTCCCTAGCATTTCTCTGAGCAAGGGAGAGATCATATCAGAGTGAGTCAAGACATCAAGTGATTTAATAACGCCTTTACTAATAAGCGCATGGATCGCGCTTAACACCCCTTTGATGATCACATCTTTCCTCTCTACATCATAATTGTCAATCAGAATCAAGAGAAACTCAAGAAGAGTATTGGTGATATCACTATACTTTGGTATAGAGACCATCAACAAAATTGCTGGCTCGACACACATCATGTCGTCGTCCTCGTCAAAAAACAGCCAATCGTAAAATAGCCCAAGCTTGAAGTTTGCTTGGACACAACTTTTCCTACAAGACATCAACAACCAACCAATCACAGCCCATCTCAGCATCACATCCACAACATGACCATATTCACTTGAAGAACGACATGTGCAACAGATAAATCTCACAATGTCTATCAAAACATTCTCCCTCTCGAGCAAAGAAAGAAACTTTTTGGTAAACCAGACCTGATACCTCCTCTGGTGCCCAAGCTTCACTTTTGTGAGCAAAAATCTCAAGTTTCTCTCCATCTCGGGTGTTATTCTAAGTGAAAAGTACAAGCTTGGAGTCCTTAAACCGTAGATTTGAGCTATGGACTTAAAATCATTTACTTAAAACTCACCTGGATTGAACAACAAGTCTTTCCATATGGACTTAAACTCAGCTATGTGGACCAAATCTTGTAAAATATAAAACATCGCTGAAACAAGTCTTTCCATATGAACAACAAGTCTTTCCATACGGGAACATCAATCTGGTGTTTTTTACACGAAAAATAATTTTTCATCGCTGAAATATAAAACATACTACCTATGTCCCAAAATGATGTTCCCGTTCGCTACTCATCTAATCAACTTAAATCACTTTTAATCTTTTACTTTATATATCTAATTTTGATCAAATTTGAATTCTTTCTTTGCGACTTTATAGAACTTCTTGTGAGAAATAATATCAGGCTTAACCATAATGGTAGCCCTGGTAGATATATATATATAGGAAATAATAGTAATAATTACAATAGGAGTCCCACACTAATAATACTTAAATAAATAACTAATCTACTCTATTACTTCTAAGAGAAATTTATCCAAACTAGGACCAAAACATAGGCTTCTTCCAAAAATAAGTTCATATGTTTGGTTTTCACTAAATAGGACTAACCATTCCATTTCTACACTTAATATAATTAATTAACCTAATTAATCCCCCCCCAGTTTCCATGCATAACCAAATCAGTCCGTTGTGGCAGGCCATATCTAAATGCTCAAGTGCTCAACGTGACCTCTGTCCTATATAAAGAACTCACAAAACAGTCAATGATCAAATCCATGGCACCTGCAAAGGCCTGAAATCTGCAGAGAAATACTCACCATTGAAGTAATCAAACATACCAAAACTGGAGTCAGCAATAACAATTACTCACAACAGATGGCTCCTAATGATTGACAAAACAGTACGAAAAACTAAAAGAGAAAAAATGAAAAGTAAAAGAGTTGCAGATGAAATTCAACTCCAGCAAGTAAACAGGAGTTGTTTTTCTCCCACTTTTTAGGTAGGTAGTACTTTATGTGGCTATTAAATAGAAGTATTGTAAGGAGTTCAAGACCTCAAATAGCAATGCATCTTACTTTATGTGTCTTTGGTTGCATCTATTTCCGAGCAGAGGAAGTATATGTATCTAAAATCTTATATCTAATCTAATATAAAATCTTATAAGCACCAATCAAGGTAAGGATATAAGTGGAATGAAAAAAGTGTTGGTGTACCGTCAAATAAAATAATAAAATCTTATAAGCACCAATCAAGGTAAGGATATAAGTGGAATGAAAAAAGTGTTGGTGTACCGTCAAAGCAATATTAACTTGGTCTCTATGCTTAAGTTATTGTACAATCATTTTTATATCTAAGAAACGACATCCTTTCTCCGTTAAGTTTTGCTCTTGTTGCATTTCTCCATTATTTGTCGCTCACTTCAATTTTCATTCCCTTGAGAGTGATTCAATTACGTATTAATTACTTAGCTTTTATTGTGAAAATTAATCACTTAGGCCCCTTCTATTTTGGCTACTATTGAACTCCTTGAATTCCGTCACTCCCATTTTTCTTTTCATTTCACTATTCTAATTTGCCCAACTTTTTGAAAAGATGAAAGGTCACATTACTAAGGGGTGTTTAGATCTGATTCTTAAAACTGATTCTACTCCTTCAGGGAGCAGAATCAGAAGTTGGAATGTTTGGATGAAAGTGCATAAGTGATTCTGGTGCTCAAATTTACTCCTAGAATCAGTTTTTCAGAAGCGGAGGGTGACCAGCTTCTGAAAACTGATTCTGATTCTGCTTCTACTTTAAAAAAGAAGCAGAAGCAGAATCAGTTCCAAACACCACCTAAATGCCACACAATCACACGAGAGTTTTATTTTTAATAGTCTGATACTTTGATCACTTGGGGCATCCTCATCCATTATTAGTCTATTTAAAATTTAATTGGATGATGTGTATGATTATTTTAAATATTATTATTGTGAGTGAGAAATTATTTAGAGAGTGTTGGATAATTGATATCCATATCCTATAACTAAAGAGAGATTGAACAATATTCAAGAAGAGTAATGGAGAAGAAGAATGCGTATAATGTTGAATGAATTGTGAGTTATGTTTACAAGCCTCCTATAAGGAGTATATATATAGATAAAATCCGGGTCTGGGCCTCTAATATGGATCTGACAGACCCTATTACATAAATGGATTGATAGTATAAAAAGCTAATCTAGAACATCTTAATAATAATGTACAATAATATGAATCCGCTAAACGTGTGTGGGCCGCTGTCCAGGCCCAGTAGTCGGCAGACCGGGGGGTCGAAGTCCATATACTCCATCAGAGAGGTTATTGAAAAAGAAAAATCGGTATTAATATTCAAATCTCATATTATTTAAATATTATTATTGTGATGAAGAGTTTTAAGCTTTGAGATTATTTAAAATTTATTGAATAAATGTGATGTCACAATGATGTGTAATAGAAGAACCGTTTATTTAAAGAGTATGAATGGAGATGTTCTAAGAAAAGTTAACGCCCTAAAAAGTTAACGCCCTGAAATATATGCACCTTTAAATAGATCACAAATAGATTTTAAACTTCAAGAATAGAGTTGGCCAGTTGAGTATTAGTGTTAAATTGGTCCAATGCTTATGAGGTTGATATTAATTTGTCCATTACTTTTGTTGTCTTTTTGGTATAGCTATTCTTTTAATACTCCGAGTTTCCCCCCTATGTTCTAATTTTATGATAAAGCTCTTGAAGTGTTCTCTTTTCTAAGATGTTGGGACATGAACGAATTCCGTTATTACTTACATTTCTCGTACAATATTTAGCATTAAGTATACAATATGATTGCCAATTCAATAATGAATACTTCACATCTGAGTAGAGTAACAAATTGTAAAGTGATATGTTTATGCACAATTGACTATTAATGTTACATATATAGAATACATATAACATTAACAGAGTTTTAGTTAAGAGTATTAGCCATTCGAATTTACCAATTAGGAGTTTAGTTTGAAAGCTATGTGTCTAAGAAAATGTGCATAAAGACACTTTTTCAAATTTTTTGTTGGTTGGTAGCATGATTCCATGCTAAATAGCTTGTGACAAAACGGTATTGGGACGGAATTTGACATGAGTTTGACGTATTCATGCCAAATACCCTATGAATTTCGACGAGTCCATGCCTAAGATCAGTGCCGATGAAGTTATTTTTTGTAGTGTTTGTTAATCTTAAGGCTTGTAAAACTTGTGGTGCTTATAACACCACCTTATTCCACTGTTTTTTGTTGGTATTTGAGCTAGAGTTCGAGTAATAATAGGTATCGTAGCAAAACTAGGCCATGCAACTAAGTTGATCAAATCGTACTTGATGTGGTCTCAATTCATCTTGTGTTCCATCTAAATTAGGGGTACTTTATTTTCTTTCTTTTGTTACATCGTATGAATGTGGAGATTAAGTACCTCATGTGTTATATTTTCTTCCATTTTCTTCAACTAGGAAAGCTTTCCCCAACATTATGGAGCAACATGACATCTTAAACCTTTAGTATTTCAATGTCTCAAATGTTTGAGTATTTCAAGTCATTTTATAAGTTTGAAATATCAATTCAATATCTTACCAATTCAATCTCTCACTTTAATATATACAATTACTTTTCATATGGGTATATATTACTATGTAGTACTTTCCTTTCAATGAGTATTGCATGTTTAAGTTTGAATTATATAATCCATTCCAATAGATTAACATCGAAGTTGCCAAAACAAGTGTACATTTCAAATAAAACAAAAGAACAAGCAAAAAACAAATTAAAATGTTTAAGTTATAATATTGGGCATTACCATATCGCGCAACGGGCGACACAAAACTAGTAGACTATATAAATACTACAAAATGAACTATAGACTAACACATGGTTTAATTATAGTGAACTGATTACATAAAATGAGACATAGTAATGTTGAGTTCCGCTTAGGCTACGTATATGTGTGTCTGGTAGCAAGTTTTGACAGGACATAGCTAAACTCTCCGAGAGACATCCTTCTATGTCAAATAAATCTTACCATTAGAGGACATGACTAATTGACTAAACCATTACACGGATTCAGCCCGTGGAAAGCAAATAGTTCCCCTCTTTCATGTTTCACACCTCCATTATGCTATACTCCGTACAATATAATTTTGAATGCCTTAAAAGAGTCATACTTACTCGATCTGTACAATCAATACGAAGTATTTTAATACAATTAAACACTCGTAAAAACCACAAAACCTGCAAGATGTATTAATAGGTTTATTAATACATTAATACATGAAATTAGTGGACATAGTTTGTGTATTATAGAGGCTTTACACAATAATTCAATAAATTTGTTTTGTTTCAACAATTTTTTGGCAAGTTCGTTCTGTGGTTAGATCATAGAAGTCTCAATTATTGTATAATACGATCTTTGTGGGCTTTGAAGTTTCATTAGGTTCGCCAAGAATGTGGTTTAGTTATATAATAATAATAATATACTACGTAATATATAGAATGATATCTAATTCTATAATTTGAACTCCTTCTACCCTTAATATGAATTTAAAGTATGTGATACGTGGTAGGCGGTAGCTACTTAAGAATCCTATTTCTTATTGAAATCGATTTTATATTTGTTTTATTTATTATTTGATGATTACATAATCCTTTTCGTATTAGAACTTGTCTTTAATTGTAGTTGGGAAATTTAGGCTTGCTACTATTTTAATACTTAATTGAAAAGATGAATTTGTGGAAGGTTGACATATATGATGATTACCTAAAAGAAATGCTACAGTTTGCAATTTCGAATTCTGATATATAGGTTTTTGTAATTTCAGCATTTTCGTAATATCGCGAATTTTGGTTCATATGTTTGATTGCAGGTTCTACTACTTTTGTATGTTCAATAGTTTGCCGGCTCGGTTTCTTATTGGGGAATGCATTTTCTACTATGCATCCTTTGACGCATTTAAATTAGGTTTTAAATTGACTTGCTTTATGTTTTTCATTATTTTAGAAACACCAAGTTGTGACTAGCTTAATTAAAGACAAAATAATTTAGTTTTATTCATTATTGCAGAGGATCCAGGAGAAACAACAGTGGAATGCGACGCCGTTGCAAGAGAAGAGGGGATGTCGTCCGAGTTGACCATCTGCGCCGCTACTGATGTGTCTAGGTAGGCAGTGGAATTGTAAGAGCAATGCCCCTGCATTCAGCCCCGATGGCGCTTCTCCTAGGCCATTTTCGTCACTAAGCTATGAGGTAGTGTTCGCATTTTTACTATTTAATTTTAATGATTTTATTAATTAATTTTATCAATTCTATATTCTCAAGTTCATGAGTCTATGATTCAACCAACTCTTTTCATTTTCGTATTAAGAGTAGCCAAACAGAGCTAAATTGATAGCCACAATGGTATTAATATGATGTTGGTATATCGTTATCTCCAGAATTTTCAATTTTTCACTACCTAATTCAATGCTTGATTGACTTAGGAGCAATCGTTGACTATATTTTTTTCTTAGTCGTTATCTTTAGAATTTTCAAAAAGAGCAACTGTTATCTTTGCTTAGCCTTTTAACTGTTTGTGTTTTTTATTGTAAACAGAAGTACTTTTGAAAATCTTAATCAAAACTTTAGAGTATTTGAACTCTTCAATGTCGTTTTGGTTCAATTTTTTATTAATCAAAACTATAATTAATATTCTACCCTGCAATTAGCTCTTTGATATTAATCTATATAGACTCATTTGGTTAGGTATTTAAATATGCAGATTATTCGTTGATGACTTGAAGCTCCTTTGTTAGTATGAATCAGAGAATTTAGTTTCAAAAACAGCTGCTGACTCAAATCTTTAAGGTTCATCCTTGCAAGAAAGAGTTGAGCCTGTACGTGCAAGTTCAGAGAGGCACTAAAGTAAATCTTATGAGAGGCTAAACAGTTTCTGTTTTCTTATTATTTAGATTGAAATTTATCTTTGATTTTAGTAGGTTAGAAAAGCATTTTAGATGAATTATAAACTAAAGAGTGGCTTTAAACTAAAGAGACAGTTTTGAGAATTATAGTTTAGTTCATTTAATG